AACCCACCACCTTAGGTGTACGTGGCTGGCGCCTTAGCCGGTTGAGCTATAGGCACCGAGCCGATAGATCAGTCTTAAGAATAATCATATAATTAGCCCATAGAAATTGGTCTAATTTTCTTAATTTACACATAAGAAAGGCTCTCAGAGATTTAAAATAGTTTTAAAGCTTATTCATGTCTTTATGGATTTAAGGATTTAAGAATTCTGCTGAAGGTGAGAGACCTAGCTGAGGTTATGTAACTGATGACAACACAAGGAAGTAGAATGATGTTCTTAAATCTGTACTCTTTTTAATACCTCATAATGCCTCTTTTTTTTTCTCCAATTGAGAAATTAAGTAGAATATATCATTTTAAGTGATTTGGATGTTAACAAATGAGTTGAAGATGCCACATGAATGTGCCTAATGGAAAGACCATGCAGCAATTAAACCGTATGCTTCTTTTTTTTAGAGACAGAGTCTCTTTATCACCCTCGGTAGAGTGCTGTGGCATCAGAGCTCATAGCAACCTCCAACTCCTGGGCTTAGGCTATTCTCTTGCCTCAGCCTCCCGAGTAGCCAGGACTATAGGCGCCCGCCATAACGCCTAGCTTTTTTTTTGTTGTTGCCATTTAGCTGGGCCGGCGCCCTACTCGCTGAGCCCCAGGCGCTGCCCTAAACCATATGCTTTTAATAGGAGTTTAAGTTGCCTCCTTTTTGAATGTCAACACTAAACTGTTAGGCAACAAATACAAAATTACAGCTTGTAATTACAGGCCACTGCTCTTTCAATCTTAACACTATCTATATTCTTTTTATCTGTATTAAAAACACATCCGGAATCTAAAGTTGGATTTAAAAAGCAAAACAAGGGTGGTGCCTGTGGCTCAGTGAGTAGGGCGCCAGCCCCATCCTGGCTGAACTACAACCAAGAAATAGCTGGGCGTTGTGGCGGGTGCCTGTGGTCCCAGCTACTTGGGAGGCTGAGGCAAGAGAATCACCTAAGCCCAGGAGTTGGAGGTTGCTGTGGGCTGTGTGATGCCACGGCACTCTACCAGGGCAATAAAGCAAGACTCTGTCTCTACAAAAAAAAAAAAAAAAATCACAACAAAACCTTACACATTAAGGTACTGACAATTTAAATTTTAACATTCCTTTGATATGAATTTGAAATGTCTAATACAACTATATTTTAAAATATACACATATCTAAATTATAAGAAAGGTAATATAATAAATTCTTATGGTTGAAGAACAGTCTTCTGGAATCAATGGAACCGCTATAGAACATATATTGACGAGCATTTTTTTTTTCTTTTGAGACACAGTCTTATTTTGTTGCCCTCGGTAGAGTGCTATGGTATCATGGCTCACAGCAACCTCAAACTCTTGGGCTCAAGCAATTCTCCTGCCTCAGCCTCCCAAGTAGCTGAGACTAAAGGCACCCACCACAACATCCAGCTATTCTTTAGAGATAAAATCTTGCTCTTGCTTAGGCTGTTCTCAAACCTGTGGGCCTTGGCAGTCTGCCTGCCTCAGCCTCCCCAAGTGCTGGGATTACAGACGTCAGTCCAGCAACCCCTGATGAGAATTTTTTAAAAGAATTAGAATAAAATTTAATCTTAACTTTTTAAGATTATCATACATAATTCAATCTTATTTTGATTTACATGGTTCCTCA